GCCTCGTCGTCCACTAGAAGGTCGAAATACCCAAAACTTCGATGGTCGGAGTCGCAGTTCTCCTTTAAGTATCTTAAACGCAAGAACCATACCAGATATAACCCTTCTCTGGAAGAGACTCTTCAATTTAGTTTCCGGAGATGAGTTTCATAAGACGGCAGAGTGTCGAGGTAACTCGTGCTGGGAATCGCTTTGTAGTACAAGATCCGAGTGAAAGTTTCCTGAACTTCTTCGAGCTTGTAGGCTCCAATTGGGGCTACAGTATTCAACAATGGGAAGAATACATGATTGAAGAGTCTGATCCACATGTCAATATCGGAACAGTGAATCTTTCTGAATAGGAGATAGACCAACCTGAGCGCTTTGCTTGCTAGCTTCGTCCACGTGGACACACCAAATTTTCCGATAATTTGATTCTCAAGTCTTTCATCTGCTAACTATGCTTTATGATAGTCTTATCCAGGGACGGTAGTAAAGTGGCCTCAACTGCTAGTTACCATGTGACCATGAGCTCGTGGTAACTTGGTCATGGCTTCCATCCATGTCTCCCTAAAAGATGCGTAGAGCACCTCTGGAACCCCTCCGAAGATTCCCCGTCGGAATGGTCGAAGTGAGTTCGAACTTACTTGGAAGTTGGGTGATGACATCACGTGCTAGTAAGAGGATTAGCAGGGTGGTCATTTATAAACTAACAGCGATGGCGGCAGAGGAAAAGGAAATAGTGCGCGCGCGGTGGAGGGCGCAAACATGCTGCCACTTCATCTCTAAAAAGTCCTCCGGAGGACTTTTTAGAGATGGCCATCTCCAAACAGCCAGGCTGTGTGGGTCAACGCAGTAAGTTGAAAAGGGAAAGGGAAGCAACTTGCATTGATCCGTCAATGGTGTAGCGCCTGCGGTCCACGTTTGTGTTGAGCCGGCCACGGGATCGATACTACTAGATGTCAAAATCTTTGCAACTTTTGTGGGTTATTGCCTTTCCTCTAGAATTCTTTCACCGTCAATAAGAAGGGCTCCATAGTGCAGTGGTAGCGATGCCGCTCATGGGACGATGCACCGAAGGTTCAAACCCGTGTGTGACGCGACTTTTGCAAGCAACGTGGTGGATGCTCACCACTTCGCCTATGGCAAACCGCCATTGGATCAATGGGGACGTTCCACGCTGCCGCTGGCAAGCTTGCTGGATCAGCACCGCTTGGAGACTAAGACTTGCAAGCAACATCCATTGCATACCTTTCATCAACATCTCTTCCAGTGTGGTCGAGTGATCCCTGGTGCAGTGGCAAAAAACCAGCCTATGAGCCCTACCATCCAGGGCTCAATTCCGAGAGAGTTGCAAGTTTTGCAGGTCGGGTGGCGAGGCTCGCGGTTTCAACGAGGGTCATGTCCATGTTTCCACGTTCTCTCTACTCCTCGCCAATGGGTGTAAATCACCACATTTGACTGCCAGTCTAGGGCACTTTACTACCGTCCCTGATCCTGACCTCCAGGAATCTCCCAGCTAAGCATTCTTTCAACGGATTTATTCAGCGCGGTTGAGCGTCATGCCTTTCCTTCTGCTTATAACCACTGTTATGTTGGTCCTGAGATGATCCCGCAAATCACAAGTGTAAATGAGGAAAAGCAGTGGCGACAGTACGCTTCCCCGCGGAACCCCTGACGGACAATTTCTCATTGTGAAAATACTGTCTCCAATACGGACGCTGAATTTCCACCCTTCCAGGTATGATCTGAATAAGTTCAAGGTGCCTTCCCTGGTTCCAATACTCTCAAGCCTGGCCAACAGCCTTGATGGCATACCTTATCAAATTCTTTGCTTAAATCAAAATAAACGATGTCAACATTTTTCCCACTGTTGAGGGCTTCAATCCAGGCGTGAGTACAACTGAGTAACTGCTGCGCACCGCCTGACCACTTGTACGCATGCTTTTTAAAGGCTTGCTCCGGATTAGGCGCGCGGCCTCTCCAATCAGGGGAGGTAATAGCGGGAACAAGCGTGATGCGCCGTTGTGCCCCGTTGACCGGTTGAGTGTGACAAAGGCGAGAGGAGGCGCACCGGCAGCAATTCACTACCTTCGTAAGCAACCCCCCCTCGCTGTCGGTTGCCAACATGCGCTCTCGACACTTAGGGCGACATTGATGGCAGCGTTCCGAAAGACTCAATACAGTCACTGGCCTGGAGCAAAACTAGAGTTAGAGTTCGCTAAACTCGTCCAGCGCACCCTTTCTCCATCCTTAAGGTGTGAAATGCGGTCGAAATAGAGGGGGTCCTCATTCGGGGCGTAATCGGTGGTTTCGTTTGCTTTCCTTCTCAATTCCGGACCACCTCTCACCTCTAGCTTCATGAATGAACGTTTTTCCACACCAATTTTTCCTTAAAGCAACAGTCCAGGCAGGGTTTCAACTACTTGGTCATTAGGCGGTCAAAACATGCCCCAGCCCAACTAAAGTTTATAGGAAATGTCTTTAATTTCAAAACCTACCTCTAAAATGCGCTGGAAGGGGTCGAAGTCCTCTTGGAGGGGGCGGATCACCCATAAAGAGGCGGATCGCCCAACATTCGCTGTGCAGAGCGCTTGCTCGACTAGCGGTCGTTGCGGGACCGCCGCGCTGTATGAGGTCGATTCCATAAGAACCCAATTGAAGCGCTTCAATTTCGATTGCTGGCAAATAGTTATGTATTTGCAAGCATGCATGGCTATTTGCCAGCAGTCAACTGGAGCGCATGTACTACGGGCAGGTTCGGACAACTCGTCCAACACACATCTCCCTAAACGGCCGGGGAGTCCCTGTCTAAGCCCCTGCCCGACGTTTTTTTCTACTTTTTCTTTCTCCATTGACCAACTTCTCACCTGCAACGTCATTATAGGTGGTCCTTACCCGCGAATTCGTTCCTGGATTGTTGCTTTAAGGCTTCAACCGGGACTGCGACTAGTAGAAAGGATACCGCTAGGGATATTGTGAAGTCGGTACCTACCTAGATCGCTCCAGCTTCGTGGCAAAAATTTGCGCGGTTAGGGCGCTATTCCTTACGAGCCTCCAACGCATCGACGCTCAATTTCCAGACGCTTCCCACCTCCGCTAATCCTTACGGGCCTGCAACCATCGACCCATTTGCAACGCTTCCCACCCACCGCGAGAGGTGGTGAGATCAGCGTGCTCTCTCGCGTATTTTGTCTTCTTTGACCGCCCTGTCTCGCCATCGTACCACATCCGACCTTTTGAAGGTTAAGGCCTTAATTTCAGCGTTCCCAAAGATTTCTCTTGCTTTCCTTTCCACTTTCAGGTCGTTCCGCAGCTAAGCTATCACTACAGAGCGCTGATAGCACCAGTTCAATCCCGGAGTTTGCCTTTAATCTTGCCTTCAATGGGCTGCTTTTTCATTGCAAACCCTACCTGTAAAGTCAGCAAGTTGCTCCAATCACATTGCGGCAATCACATTAGCGGATCGCAGGCTGAATTGTGGGAAAATTGTGTCGGGAGCACCTGACATTCGGAAATTCGGTTTCCGAATCCCCTTGTATGCTATGCATGCGCTCGTCTTAGAATCACCGCCTATGTAACGTCAACGCCTTCGCCAATCATGCTAATTTCCTGTATTTATCATCTAGAACGGAACGTGGAACATCCTCAAATACTAAGGAAACCCATTATTCTTCGTTCCAAGTTTAGTCCAGACTTCCTATCCTTTGTTTTGTTGCAGAGATTCGGCTGCATGTACACTTCAGATAGTTATCTAAAGGCTGCAACTTGAGTGCTTCGAAGAAATGTTCGAATAGAAAATGTGTTAATCTAAACGCTAGCTTTTGCATACCAATTCATGATAACATAATGGTTCGTTCCAGTACTTCTAAGAAGCGTTCACGTTGCTTGTCGGTGATAACGATGCAGCCACCTCAAAACGTCAAAAAAGTCTTTAGCCATTTGTCATTTTTTTTTCAAATCCAGCTTTCTTCTTTGACACAGTAAGCAATTTACAACTATATGTCCCACCATGTCATCATATTGCCTTTCATTAGGTAATTTGTGGATGCCGTTTGCATGGAACTCCTGAGCTTTTGGGGCATGTAGGTCCGAATCATCAAGCTCTCCCATTTTAGTTGGTTCGAGGCACATGGTAGTCTGCTGGCGCCGATTCTTCTGAACACAACAGGTGGGACAGACGTCCCATAAGTAGGCTTGGAGACTTTTGCTGGACCTTCTTCAAATTCGTTGACGAGCGTTGCCTGGATAAAGTAAACTTTTCAATGTTTTCCTAAGCATAGTGTCAGTGAACTCATCCATTCGCTCAAATTATTGTTCATCGATAGTGGTGCAGTCTCTGAACAAATCGCTACCGGTTTCGAGAAGTCTTAAATATGCTCCTCAGATTGGAGGGCTGGAGTCGGCGTTGGGATCCTCGGTTCTGCGTGGCCGTACCAGTGGCGCTTCCATGTCTGTTGTTCGTGAGGAACCCGCTTTCTGGCACTATCAGCCAAACTGTCAGGCCATACGAGAAGCAGGTGGAAAATCAGAGTGCTCATGCCAAATCTTAAGGTCGGTTCTCACCCAGATCACAATATCTTTTTGCCATAATTTCTCTCCTGTTCGAGGAGATAATGAGGAGCGACTGTTGACAAACGCGGATACTCACCACTATACTACTTAACCGTTTTCTGTGTTTTTTTTTCTAAGAACGAAAGGAATGAAGGTTTCCGTGTCCCTCGAGCGAAGAGGGTTTACTGGACAACTATCGCACGCGACAGGGACGAATGGAGACGTTGCTTGGC